CTTTTATTTCCAAGCTTACAGCATCTCTCTGGCCTGCTGTTAATAGCCTGCAAGATTTTTGCTTATGTTTCAGATATATAGTTTTTTTCTCCTCCTACTCATTTTCTCTCATAAATCCCCTGGCTGATGAGAAAGTGTTGTGTATCCCTTACATCTAACAACATTCAGCAGTTGCTCTGTTTTGCCTGCTGTGACAAATATCAAGTCTTTCCTTTTTCTGCCACTGTTTTAATGCCTCAGACAATTGGCTTTGTATGTATAATAAAAATGCAAACTTTTCCAGAGGCTAGTAGGTTTATGGGATTTTTACTGGGCCTTTCAGAAGACACAATATTATTTTTACTCCCTCACTACACGATTCTTCAGAAGTCCATAAACTACAACAAAGAAAATTAGGTCTTTGAAGACAGTATGCAAGCAGTCATCATTCCCCCTAGATTCAAAGATAATTATCAAATACTTGGATTACCCAGAGAGTGAAGGGAATATTTCATCTCTTTGAATGTCAGTGCATCCTGGGCACATGTCAGGTATCTTCAGTGTCACGTTCACTAAATCCTATATTCTGCCTTTCAAAGCAGAGTCTTGAAAAACAGATGGTATAGAACTGCACTCTGGCCAGAGGAGTTTCCAGGTAGGGCAGTTACTGTGCAAGCCCTGTCCAACTCTTCCTCAGTGAATATCAAGTCCTCAGTCTCCCTATTTTTAGGGATGTGGCTAGCATGTATTTTCAGGCAAGAACAAATATTTTACATTGTCTGCCTTTTTTGCACTAGTTTAAGACTGACCTGAAGAGCATTAATGCTATCTAGATTGAGAACTTTTTATTTAATATCTTACTTTTCCATAGGGGAAAAAAGAAACCAATAAAGGAGAGAAAGACCCTAGTCATCCAGCCGAAATATCTGGAGTTTTCTGGTCTGCTGGAGCCCTGGAGTGCAGAGCTAGTCTTTTTTTCCTATAGGATCTGTGGCTATCTTCTGTAGAATATCACTACATCTCTTCTACTCTTCGGGAGCTTTGTATCTTTCTCTGGCAAGTGCATTTCTCTTGAGTCACTCTCTCATTTGCTGTATGTCCAGTGTTAGACACAGCTGCTCTGTGGACAGTGAGACCAGGCAACTTTTGGGGCAATATATTTGCCTGTGCCTCTTTCAAAAGAAGCCAAGATACTTGAGTGAATGATGAAAACTAGACTTCACTCCCACCTTACAGCCAGGCTTTATACATCCATGTGCAAAACTGCCATGTATGACTCTCCGCAGCTCTCAGCTCTGTGTCAATGGTGGTGCCAGAGATCTGCTTGTGGAAATCAATAGTCCGTGGGATACAATTGTCATTTGCTGTCCTCTGTTTCATCCAGAAAGTCTTCCTGAAGGTTTTCCAGAAAGACTCTCTGTCTGTTTCTCCCTCCCTGGTTCAAATGCAGGGAGCCCTGAATGAAAACACTGGTCCCAAGGGAAATTCTACAGAGCCATAGGGATTTCAATCCCATGAGACAAATTCAGGTCTTTTCATCATCTACTGATGGATTAAAGTGTCATTTGCAAGAAAAAGCTCTAAGCTGGCAATGGTGAGAGCATCACACAGAATGCTTGCATTCATACTGAGCAGCTCTGGAGCTGTCGTCATCAAATTGGTCCCCCTCGTTTTCCAGTGCCTGACATCATTTGTGAATAATAAATAGAACCAGGTCCCTAATGATCTCCAGGTGTGTTTTAACCTGGATTAAGCCTTTCTCACAGTGTTTATTTCTTGCAAGGTCACTTCATTTCTAATAAGTACCAGTTTGCACATGCTCAGCTCAGCTCTGTTCTTGTCCTTTAATGCAGTAACTGACAGATGGTAGTAAAATATTCCTTTTATAATGAAACCTGCTGAAGGAGACTGCTTAGGGCCTCAGAAAATATAATTTGCCAAATAAAGAATAGTCTCCAGGAAAGAAAGGAATTACTGTAATGCAGTATGTATTAAATAATTTTCTTCAGGCATCTGGTGATCAGTGGCTTTTTCTCACGTCAGAGAGGTGACCTAACTGTTTTTTTCTAATTATTTATTGCCTCATTCACCTTTGCACTCTTAAAAGTCTTGTTTCTGTGGGTTGACATAAGTAGTGCCTCTAAAAAAGTGTAAATTAACTGCATGAGGATTTGTTGTAAAGGTTTCATAGGTACCAGATTTGTATCTGCAGTATGCTGTCAGATTCTTAAGGTTTTCACTTACGCTATAATTAGCCCAGTTTCTGGGTGAATTTCACACCTATTTTTTAGACCCAATTATGCCATTTCTCTTAAACCACTATTAATTCCTAGCAGCATTGCTGCTGAATTCTGATTTACTTTGTGTGACTATGCACACCCTATATTTTTCTCATGGCCTGTGCAAACTTCTTTTGGCAGCTGAACACATCAGAGTGATCTAATTTATTGTCTTCTCTGAGGCAGGTAGCATTGGATGGCAGAAACCTCTCCTTTTAAAGCCTCCAAGAACCTGCAACTTTCTTCTAAAACCAGTGGTTTGCTGAGTATCTATCTTTGCCACTCATTTCCACAGGCTTCCACATAAAAAAAACTTTTACTATTTTATCCTCTGTTCCAACATACAGCTAAGGAAGACTTGATGTGACTTCCTTTAGCATCCATTTGCACTGTCCTATAAATCATACAAAACGTTCTGCACAGGCTCAAATCTAGGCATTAAATGAGAATCCATCTGTTCCTTGCTCCCAATGGGATTATAGTTTCTTTCTCTGCATCACTGCTTGACAAAACTTCTAATCCCACCTGAAACTGCGAGTGTGCTGTGTTTGGGGCCTGTTATAGCAAATGCACATCTCCCTGCTTCCACCTTCTCCCCTCAGGAATTGCTATTTTTAGACTGCTTTTCCATCTCTGATGAAGTCAAAATTTCATCTTAACCTATACAAGCTCTGGTAGCTCTGCTTTTCTGCTGCAGTATCATGAAATCTGTCACCAAGCTCTGTTCTGATCTGTAACCCCCTTGTCATTACTGCCCTCTTGGCGAAAGTCATGTAAACACCTTTTATTTCCATTTCTTGATGGGTTTTCTTTTCACTGCTTTTGGATGTCATGGCCAGCAGTAGATCAGAATTTGCATTAGTCTTTGGCTCTGACAGGAGGAGAATCAGCAGTGCTGGACAATTTAGAGCATGCTGCTGCTGCTATAATGTGCCTTGTGCATTACAGCACTACAGGAGTGTTAGTGTCAAGGTGATGTAGCTGCCTCTGGAACTGCAGACTCCCAAAACTAAAACACACAACTAAAAAGTTACTTGATCTCTACTAACTCAAAAGCCAGCAAAGGCTGACATGTGCACAACTACACATAGATCTGTGGCCAGGAGAAATGCCTCAGCTGGCCATTACAACTGTGACAAACCCCAGATGACCCAATGGACCTCACACCTCGTTTGGTGTGGGCCAGGACCTGTCAGAGCCCCTTGTTGCTGGGGGCTGAGGATTCACATGCATGTGTGTCACTTCTGTGCACACAGAGTTCCTTGGCTGACACATGGCAGCTTGTTCTTCTTTGTGACACGAAGGAGCACTTGTAGCCACGATGCATCTGAGCCATCAGGCAGCTGCCCCTTGGAGCAGGCCTATGAAGAGCACAGACTACGTCACTGAGGGGTTTTGGCTTATGTTGTTTGTTGTTTCTTTTTCAATTAGAAATGAGGAAGCATGTGACTCTTTTTACCAGTCTCACAGACTGTGAAGCCTTTAGTCATCCATAAAGAGGCACATTTGACATACTTTGGAGTTTTTGCCTTTTTTTAGCATGGATTATTCACACCTTCAGAAATGCCTCAGAGCAACCCAAGCCCAGTGTCCCTCTTCTATTGCCAAAAATCCTTGCCAAAAGTTTTGGAGCAAGGCTTCACACCATGGGTATGTCCTAAATGAGCCACATCATTATTCCAAATAGCACATATTTGCTTGCATTTAAGACTGCCCAGTCCCACACAACCTTCAGCAGCTTACCTTGACTCCCTCAAACAGAATGAGAGCACCATTCCTTCACAGTCCCACCTCACACCACCGTGTCTCCAACACCATGCTCTCTGCCTCCAAGGTTTTGCATGGAACTGCTGAGCATTTCCCAGAGCAGATGCAGCAGCGTGAGTCACTGCCTCACTGAGGAACGAGTCATTGCACATTGGCTGCTCCATGGAAACAGCCCATGGATATGCTTGAATATCGTGCAATACACTCTGAGGTCACTTGCGTGCCTTGGAAATAATTTATTTCCTTCATCTCTGCCCAGTCACACAACTGCCTGGGTACTTCTGATGGAGCATCTGCTATGTGATCTCTCAGACAAAATTTAGGTGGTTCAGGCCACCAATTCCAGAAAAAAAAAGAGCTCCCAGTAGGAGCCTTGACTTGTTTGCCCTTGACTTGTTTCAGTCCTTAAAACAAAATAGCTTTATTCAAACCACCTGTTAGGAATGGTCTTCCTGAAATGTGCCGACACCCAAAACATGCCTGAGTTGTTTGGGATGGGCCAGTGCCGTGCCAGGCACTGGTTGAAGAGTGTAACAGGGGAGAGGGTTGTGCTCTAGTAGCTAAAAATGTTGTTAGTGACTGCTGAATTTACTCTTATGGCTGTAACTGAATGTCTCCATCCATGTTCCCTGGAGGCAGTCTTGGTTTACAGCTTTAATAGCTGTAAAATGTGAGTTTTCTGACCATCCTCACACTTTATAGCACAATCTTTCCAGCTGTTATAATGAAGAAGAACTAGCAACAAAGTTATTACTTATTCCTCAAGCAAAATTTCTCTTCTTGGCAGCACTTGTCGCAAAGGTAGTTCAAAATGTGTCTTAATATTCTGCAAACAAATCAATTATTTATAATTGCCTTGTCTTTAGATGTGAATTAAAATAATGATTTTTTTATATAGTTGAAAGGAAGCAAACAATTTTAATCGAGGTAAATGAAATATACATGACCACCTGTTTGTTTTTTTTAACTTCATAGGAAATCAATGTATTGACAGTAGCATTGGTCAACCAGGACAGAGAAAAAAACTCAGAAAAACGAAGCCCAGGTCTAAAATCAGAGAAAGAGGCACTATTAATAGGTAAGATAACCCCAAAGAAGATCTTTGAGAACAAAATGCCTTCTAACAGCTTTCTGTTTTGCATGTATGTTTACACACATCTTTGTGCTAATACAAGTGAAAAAGAAAAAAAAATAGATTTTTTTTTTCTTAATCTGGGTTTAGAATGGCTTTTAGTAAGAAAAATCCTAAAATACAACTGAACTTTTCCTTTCTGAAAAAATCTGCTGTTTAATGGAAGGATTTCAGGTATGAAGAAATTTGCAGAATCTGCATTTAGACTTGCAGCATGAATGTATGATGACTTTATTTACATGAAGATTTAGCAGGCCAGAGTTGTATAGCTTGTTATATGATTATTAGACAAAGTGGTGAAGAAGAAGGGGATGCAAATAGTATTAGTAAACTACCAAGCAAAAAATACATCTACTACATATATTAAGCATGCCAGATTTATGCCTTTGACTTTAGGTGAGGGAATTAGCAATATGAATATTTATAAAGAATACCACAAGGACTGTCATACCCTTTACCTAGAATAAAATTTTTTAAATAACCTCTTAAATAGTGCCTAAAGCTAAAGCTTATAGGCAGTGGGCCACCTAACTGGCATTTAGCCACACAGAACTGGCTGTAGCCATGCCACCCTTGGAGGGAACGTGCCCCATTTAGACCCACGTATATTTGCATTTGTTTTCAGTGGGGTAGGTTTTCAGGGAGCATGAAGGCCCACAGATCCAAAGTATATCCTGTGGCATGGCAACAGAAATGTTGACCTGAAAGAACAGGTTTAATTTCTTTGGTCTAGTCTTTTCACAAATCAGTGGTATCCTGATAAATGATAGTTCCAAAACGACCTTAGTTTGTTTAAATGCAACTCATTTTCATCTCCTAGGCACCAGGAAGATTGCTGGTTTATTGCTGAGGCACAGATCCAGTAATTCACACGTTCAGTTCAGACCAAAGAGGTCATTTAAAAGTGAAGAATGTATTCAAACATTTAAAGTGCTTAGTACACAAACTCCCTGTGATTAGTGAGATTCAAAACAGTGGAATGTACAGAAATGTATGACTTGATTGAATTCTGCTTGTTATAATTAAATCTAAAACTCTTAATTGCAGGGGCAGTACTTGATCTTTTTGAAGTTCATTCTGTGAGAAAGACAGCAACCATGGAATTTTAAGAACAGAATAGCAAACTTTTTTTCTAGGTCGCTCACTATTTGACTGTAACAAACAGTGGCAGTGTCCCAAAGTGGGTCCCGTCCATCTGCTGTTCAGTGGCACACTCAGATAAACAGAATAACCTCAGTTAAGATATTACTGGTCATAGTACCCCCACAACTGACTCACTGTTACAGTCCAAAGATTAAAGATTCCTCAAGATGGATTTCATGTTATCTCTTCCTCTGAGGCGTTATCAGATGTGGCAAGAGAAAAATGGGGCTTGCCTCTATGCATTCACCAAGTTTTTCTGTATTTTGAAAAATGCAGTGTTGTCTTAGAGGAAAAGAGCATAAAAGAAAAAAAAGTTTTCATGGAACTCCAGTCAATAACTACAACATATTGACAAATTACTTTTATTTACATTACATGAAAGAGCTGGCTTTGAATGTCCTGAATTGAAAAGCCTCAGGAACCATATAACCAATGCAATGACACTGGTAAAATGTGATTTGAGTACAAATTGGATTTGCAGTCGTCTCATCCAAGTGTGATGGTCTTGACTTCTGTTTCTAGAGTTCCTGTGTGGTTACCTGTAGTCACCCACAGCACAAAGAAGGTCACTGCTGCTAGGACTTGCCATAGTAAAAAATTTATTGTATGCCACTCCTTATGCAGGACCAGGAGTTTGTAAATGCTGTTTGAAAAGTGGAGGAGGAAAAAAGGTGTTCTCTGCAAAGCCAGTCTAAAATGCGTTAAATATTGCTTATCAGTTTCAACCACGGCCAGTACTTAGGGAAAAACTAAATCCAAGATTATCCTAATTCATTCAGCATCAAGAAAGCAGTATGGCCTGCAGTACACAAGATACAGTGACCCATTTTTGTCATTTGTAAGCATTTTTAATCCTGGTGTTTGTGATTTAAGTATAAGAAACTTCCCCTAGGGTGGTTCAGCTAAGAAGCCCATCCAAAGAGAGCTGAAAATATTTGTTCTGATTCTTACAGTTCAGCTCTCCCCAAACAGCAAGTAACACACATGCCATTTTGTATTTTCACTGTTTGCTTAGAAGAAGAGAAATTGGATAGTGCTTTTAATAGCAATACTGATGCCCCAAATCTTGTTTTCTCTGGTCCACATTATTAATGCTGTTACTTGATTTTCACTGCAGAAAAAAATCTCTAGACTTAGATCCTGACTCCTTCTAGCCACTTTTTATTCCCATACCTTTTATAATCATCCTGAAACAACAATGAAGATAGACAGAACATGCTCTCTCTTAAGAAAAGATAAATAAGCAAATATGTCATATAGCATTTGTGTTTTCTTCAGCAGTAGTTAGGGGTAACACGGATTAAATACTTTTCATAACCAGCATCTGCATAATTACTAGAAAAATTTGAGGGAGTGAGGGTTCTGACACAATTGTATGAAACATTTTCACAACAGAGAATCCAGTGAAGGGGAAAAAAACAATAATTTTACCATTACAGTATCCACAATTTTATATTGGTAAATCAAGCATAAAATTAGTAGTTTAAATGCTCCCAGCAAGGCTTTGTTTAGAAATTCCTTTACTCATCCATCTATTATCTTGGTCACTTACTTGCTAACTGCCGTCATTCCTGAAGATGAGCTGTTGTATTTAGCACATTACTATGACTGTATTAAAAATGTGCTGTTTTGTTATGTTTATTGGGTTGTGCAAGGAAAATAAGTCACAATTCATACTGAAAAACCTGTATGAACAGACTCTTCAGAATTATTTTGCCTATTCTAATGATACAGTGTCTGAAGTAATTTTAACACTTTGTGTCTGTTTTTAATATAGGTATCATATCCACATTTCTTCACGTCCACCCTTTTGGAGCCAATATAGAGTATCTTTGGTCTTATATGCAGCAGTTGGACTCTAGGGTAAAAAAAATTAATCAAAATCTATTTTCTCTTTAGAAATATTGTATTATTCTTTACTGCAGGTTAAACTTTTCATGCATTTCCATTAGAAAGATAATGGGATATGGGGCTTGGGGGTTTGCAGTCTTTATTCATTTGCAAATTACAGTGCACATGCTAGTGTTGAGGTCTTTGCCTCAAACTGCTTAGCTATCCTTTGTGGCACAGAAAAGCAGAACTCTAAATGGCAAAGATTAGCAGCTGAATTTATGACACATGATTCTGAAATATAGCTGCAGAGGAAAAAAAGCAGAACAAGAGGCAGGTGTGGCCATAGCCATCAAACTGTGTAGTTTTTGGAGATGGCCCTTTATTCTTTGAAAAGTTGTTAGTTGTATGTCACACTGAACCTTCATGATCACAGGAATGGACCATGTTTCCTGTCCTTTGTCTCCATGTGGGAGCAGACGCAACCACATAAAGGAATTGGGTGTGCTAATTTCAGTGAAGCTGTGGCCAAGAGAAAAGTGAGGCCAACACAAAACAGTGTGCAAAGTGTTTAATGCATCAGTTCATACAGTCTACAGTCAATACATACCTGTAGGATAAGATTCTTTGACTTACTTTTTAATATCTGCTGTAGAATGAGATGAAGTCAAGGCCCCAAATGGGCCTATTCCTCTGCACTGAATATTAAGCAAGTCAGAAGGTGAGAAGCTCAAGTGTGAAATGATCAGGTGAATGGTACTTCTAGTGCTAAGCAGCAGCTTAGCAGATGCAGGGGTCACCCTGTGGCCAGCCACAGCTCTGTCCCATGTCTGCCAATACTTGGATGATGGTGCTTTCCCAGTTCTTGCAACACAACTCCTTTGATCCTGGTAATGTTTTGTTCCTGAGCAGCCCCCTCAGCCCATAGCTAAGATCAGCTTCTCACTGCTTTGATGAGCTGCTTCATGCTTCTGGATGATCCTGGATCCTTCCTCTGTTTCTATGAAAAAGTGTAGAGCTAAAAGCAGAGGAGATCCTGAACTAGAAGCTCACTGGAATTACAACAGGCTGCAATGATGAGTGAGGAAGGATGATGAATTTGTTAGGCACTGCCTTCTGGCCATGGCAACTCAGGTTTGCTAGTGCTTTACAGCCCCCTGCCACCCACAATGAAAAGGGAGTAGGGGATGGGGATGGGGATGGGAGAAATAGGTGAGAAACTGATGAATTTCAATTCTTTTTTTAATGTCTGGTTTTATCAAGACCTGATGAATCCAGAACTTCACACCTCCAGCCGTTCTTCTGCTTCTCTGTGCCCCTGCTACAGTGCACTTTGTTTAGTCTTGCCCTGATTCACCTAGTCTGTCCAATCTCCTCGGTTATCTTTCAAGTCCTTCCTGAACACGGCATTTGTCTAAGTTTCAACTGCTTTTTCCCCTGGATGACCTCTCTAGCTCTGTATCTCTTGAATGATGACATTAATCATCCAAAATATGGACTCTCTGGGCTCCAGCCCTGCTGCTCATTGCTTCTCCCTAGTGAACTCTTCAACATTCTCGCCCTGCACTGCTGTGGTCCCTTCTTGTACATGGCTGTGGGCTCTGCCCTTGAGTTTTTGCTCACATGAGTAACATGTGGGCTTCTGTGAGGCTGCCAGGGTCAAGCTCTTGACTTGCAAACAGAGCCCTTAAGGAAGGAGCATTGTCTGCCATCTCTGCAGCTACCTCTGGACCTACCTACTGCATAATAAATACAAGCTGCAAAATTTGACCTCGTTGGTTTATTTTGGAAGCAACTGCTTGTAGAAACAAATTACTTTTTAATAGCGTGATCCAGAGATGCAATCTCAGAGATGAATTTCAATTACTTTCCATGGTTAGCCTGTCATTCCTCGCCTGAACAGGAATGATAAGGTCAGCATACCCGTGTGGGCTGAGGGCTCAGTACAGAGCTCAGATACATTGCACAAAAGTAACCAGACACCCACTGCTGCCATGTGAGTACTTAAAAGATGGATTGGATCATGCTGAGGCTTTAGACTGCCTCCAAAACTGAGTTTTGGTGCCACCCTTAACAAATCATTTAATCTTTCTATTGCACTAACCTCTACAGAAAAATAAGACAATAGATATTTTCTCGCCCTCCTTGGGTGTACTAAAGTATAATTAGCATATTTTATGTTTATGTACTGTCTTAAAAAGGAAAGGTTTCACCATGGAAGGTTTCTACTAGTATGAATAAGCAGAAATATCATTATTTCCAGATAAGCCTTTCAAACCATGGAGATACCTGTGGATAACAGGCAGCACCCATAGATTTCTTTGCTGTTCCTTTCATGACTACCACTTCAGAAGCAGTAGGAAAAAATGGCTCATATTCCATGACTGTTCATTTTTTGACTTCCCTACTGACTATACCAGGAAGGTTGCCTTTGTGAAAGTGTTTTCTAATAGGCAAGAGAGCATCTTGCCTATTAGGAAGGTTTCGAAACGATAAAAACATCCTGAGCGATGCGGAACTGGGAGCTTTACTGCTTAATTACCTGGGGCTGCTGGACTGGGTAAGACCGAGGGAAGATGGCTCCATGGATAGTCAACCTTCAGTAACAACAGGGAGTTGATTAAAATCTTTTTGAAAGAGAAAAGCTGATGGAGCTGGGAGAAGCATTCAAAACGTAGGCTGAGAAGAAGAATAAGGTCCCATCTGCTTCCTCCTGCTCACAAGAACACCCATGACTGTAGCTTTTAGGTGGACTTCAACCACACTGTGGACACAGCCCCAGCATGGCAGTTGTCATCGCTTTACAGTGAGATACCATCTACAAGAGCAAAGTCATTCCTTCAAGGAATCTGCACTTGCTTTGGAGTATGGAAAGTCATATCAGACTAAGGTTAAAAAAAGTAATAATGGTTGGCTGTTTTCATATGGCCTGGATTAATTTCCCCTGCATCCCTATTGCATCTGTTCTTAATGTTTCCTCTTTACAAGCTACAGGGCAGCTTTCTCACTTTAATTTTACCTTTGTTTCTTTCTCAGATCTCTGCAAATGAGATAGAAATGCTTTTGATGAGACTGCCACGCATGTTTAAACAAGAATTCACTGGTGTAGGAGCAACACTGGAAAAGAGGTGGAAGTTTTGTGCCTTTGAAGGAATTAAAACTATCTGACTGTGACTAGTAACGAAGCTATGCAGAAAAAGAAGAATTCCTAGAGCATGGCAGGGTTATAAAGTATTAAAGTAAGAAATTTGGGTTTGGGCACATAGTAGTACGTTTTCAAAGTTATCCAAGCCTAATTTTAGTTACATTTGTGATGTTCTCTTGTGAGTGGAAATGTAGTTGTGCACCAGTTCCTAAAATAAAAATAAAATTTTAAAAAAAGTTTCAAAATGTGACAGATTGTTTCCTATGAAAACTGAAGAAAGATACCACAGTCATAACGATTTCAAAATACTACATGTCCTACATCTAAGAAAAGCTCATTGAGCAAAGAGTTAAGGAGAAAGATTGCCCGGTTATGGTCGCTAAGCTACAGCGATTTATATGTGATATGTAATAGAACTCATTAAGTTTTGTTATAGAAAGTTCTTTCTGTTTAGTAAGAGAATTGAGTAATTTTACAGTGAGAAAAAGCATACCAAAAGAAAACTTGAAGATGTGTCTGAAGTTATTGTATTTTGTAAATTAAGTTATATGCTGTACCAGGGATTTTTGCCTTATTGAAAGAGGCCTGAAAATGTGATTGGAGTCCTCAAGAATGCTTTATCAAGAATATTATTTTTCTAATGTAACTATTCTCCATTACAAGTTCTTTTAACATGGATTGCATATCAATTTTCATAAACATGTAAATAAGGAAGAAACCAGTGTTACTGTATTGTATTTGGTATGTAACATTCAGGTTTATGCATCAAAATAAATATTCAGTTGCATTACTGTTACAAATTTTATAGCAGATATATTAATTTTTATCAATAAATATGACTTCTACCATATTGTTTGCATAAGTATTTCTTCTGATGTTATTGAATTTTAATCAATCCAGCAAGACATTCGTGGAACATCTTTCTCCTACCTGAACTATTAATTGCAGATAACTTTGTTAAATTAATTATAAATCAAAAAAGAGCTTGCAATATTAGCTAAGATTAAAATATTGGTAGAGGAAGTAGCATCATGGACCTTTGATTTTATTTTTCAACAAGTAGATGGGTGAAAAATGACATTTCCCATTTTCATTGTTGTGTTGGATAAGAACTGCTGTGGGTAAGAAACAGCAGTCCCCGCTTTGGTGTACCCCTGTGCAGGCAGAGGAGCCAGTCATGAGAGAGCTGGTCCTGTGAAGTGGGGCACCAAAAATGGGAAATACAGAAAACTGAAGCAGATGCAGGGAGTTTCCAAATACATGTCAGAGTGAGGTTTCACTCAGGTTCTTCAATAAACAGCAATTAGTGTCAAATGCATTTAGTAAGGAAGGAACTTGCCAACATGGCTTTTGGTGATTGGTACTTTAGGACCTATTTCTCTTCTGGCATCTACCTGGAATAAAGAAATATTAAATTAAATGGTAATTGTGTACAAAAGAGGAAAAGAAAGAGGCTTAACAGGTCTATTATGGGAAAAAATTATGCTTTCAGGCAGTACACACAAAATTTAAAAAATCAAGTACATCTCAATTATGGTTGCTATAGAGCCTGTGATAAGCTACTCAGGTGAAACTAGTAATTATATGCCAGTTATGTTAATGAAAATTAACTAGTTTAATCCAAGTAATAACTCTTTGCTCTCTTGAGATCATACAGTTTCATGAATAATTCTGGCAAAAATGTGTTAGGTCTGACAGCTTGTATTATTATTATTATTAGGTACTGTAACATAAATGTGTATGGATGCCACTTAGGCTGGGTGAGAAAACTTTCACCTCAGCATACTCCATGCCATACTTATTCATTATATTCTGTCCTTCCTTTCCTTGGTCCTTTCCTTGTGTCCTCCTTTTTATCCCTTTAGATCATTGTTTCTCTCACAAAATAACTTCAAATCCAGACAGTCAGAAAACTTTTTTTTTGAGAGAACCTTGTAACCTAATCACTATATTTGTTTTGCATATATTTTTCTTCTTCCTATTCTTCATGGGTTTTTCATGCCTGTCTAGACCATCAGAGCTTTAGACTGGTACCTTTTTAGTCCTTGTATAGTATCAGGTAAAAGGGAACCTCCTTCACTGGCATTTAGATACTGCCAAAGAAGATCTAAACTTTGAGTATGGGTAGCATGTAGGTATCCTGTAATATTGTAATGTATCAGTTGAGAACTTGAAATCCAGGGAGATCCTCAATGAGTACCAGGTCAGGCTCAAGAACTAGCTTTAACTTTGTGTGCTTTGGGGCAAACTGGATTAAAATGTTGAGCTCCGTCATTTAGGTGCTGAAATGTCCCTGTGATGACTCTTGGGGTACCCAGCAGGGAGTTCTGCAGTTAGTACCATGAGATTAATAATGAGAAAGCTGCTTTTGATACAGGATTTGATATAGGTTTTTTTTTATACAGTAAATCCACCTAGACTGGACATTAGGGAGCATTTTTTTACTGACATAGTGGCCAAACACTGGAATGGGCTTCCAGAGAGGTGATCAATGCTCCAAGGCTGTCAATGTTTGAGGACATTTGCACAATGCCTTTAATGACATGATTAAACTTTTTTTCAGCCTTGACATGGTCAGATAGTTGAATTAGATGATCCTCATAGGTCCCCACAAGACCTAAAGCAAGTTTGTGCAGCTGAATCAGGTTGAAGGATAATGGCCATTTGGCAAAGACTCAAAGCCAGTCACAGTTAGCAGGATCTTCACAACAGTAATGGGGAAAAAAAAGGGCTGAAGAGGTATCACATCAGGCTAACCATAAGCTCAAGAGATGAGACTGAGCAACAGCCTGGCATGCAACTGCAAGTTATGGAAGAAAGTTATAACAGTGCCCTCTCTTCTTTCTCAAACAGGGACTAGTGGAGCAGGAGAAGATTTGATTTCCAACAGCCCAAACACGCTGAGGACATTTTGCACTGAGTTGTAAGTTGGGTTGGCCTGGACTCCTGTTCTCCCAGGAGAGCTTTTCAGACCATCCTCAGCTTTGAACTGTCTTGGACTGATGTCAGGGTTGACTTTCATCAGCTTAGAGGGGCCAGCCTCTTACTGCACTGTATCTGATTCCCACTAGAAGGATTAAGAGATACACTGTGCAAAACCTCCTGGACAAATGTGCATTTAACCCTGAACATTCAAGGGAGATAAGTGTAACCTCTCTGTTAAACTGCATTTTATGTCCACAAGAGGTGTTTTATGCTTGAGTATGTTTGAGGAAGACTGCATTATCCCCATCACTGAAAAGGAAATTCTTAATATCTCCTCATACATAGTGGAGTCAATTGTTTATTGAAGTGCATGTGTTTAGGGCAAAACTTGCATGTTCAGGACTACCAGAGCATCACATTCACTTAAGGAACAGCTATACTGAGATTTAGAGAAAATCCTGTATCAAGCTATGCTACATTTAGCTACACATGATGTGCAGCGAATGCTTTGGAATCTAAAGCTAGAAAATTGGTTGTAAGAGCATTCTGGGTGGTTTGTTTAAGTAAAAATTCTGGTCTTGCAAGCATTGTTTTATTTAAAATCAGAATGGCTTTGACAGTCAGTGTTAGTATGACAAAAATGTTCTGGAATTATATGAGTTGATTTGGGGAAGATTTTTGTGAGAGAAGGAGGGAAAGGAGGGAGTTGGATTTGGACATTCTTTTGGTCCCTCTAACGAAGTAATTAGCCAGGTCTGATGTAGAACTGATGTCCACTTTTTCCACTTAAATGCATCTCAGTGTTCAGCATTAAAAGTGTGAGGCTTTTATAATCTTCTTTCTCTTTTCTGTGAAAAGGTACAAGTCATCTGTTGACTTGTCACTCTGGTCTTTTCCCTCAAAAAGAAAGTAGAAACAGCATTAAATTCTTTCTGGTTCTATGTGACTGCTTGGACAACAAAAACTGACTGAGTTATGTATTTACTGAGTTAAAACTGAGTGTTTCAAGACCAAGTAAGTCAACTGAAAAAGCAGCCAGATCAGGAAATTATGCTTACAAGGTACAGATACTCTGACTTTATAAACCCATTACATTGAATTTGTAAGCAAAATCAAATAGATACGCTCAGGAGTCTCTTTGATTAAGTGTTCTGCCTCACACTGGGTAATACTGTGCCTGTTTAGATTTAATAGGCTGACTCCGATGTCAGATGCCCTTTCAACAGATATTTGTGGGGCAGCAAGAGCAAAAAGGTATATATTCATTTAAACCTAGCAGACAGTATTCCTGCAATCATATCACAGACATATTACAACCATTTGCTCAGGCTTCTGGTTGGTAAGTACTTCTTGCCAATTTATGTACTTTTATACACATAACACTGAAGCCTAAAAAAACCATTGACTTGGACTGCTCATGTCTTAGCCATGTCACTGTTAATTCTGTAGTGATCCCAATAGCATAAGGTGGATTGAAATACACCTGCCATAAAAGCATCCAGCCATAATCAAGGTTATCAACTGATTAAAAAGATATTTTTTGCTTGATAGTTTCTTAGAAGAGATTAGTGCTGTCAAAATTGGATCCTAGCTTCCTAAATTCATTTTTTTCTGGCTTCTTCTTGCCAGGTTTGCTTTTCTCTGCAGGACTAAATACTCCTTTAGTACTGCATCTTTTCTCCCCATGAAGATATTTATATATTGTAGTCTATTTACTTCTCAGTATTCTTTCTCATAAGCTAAACAGATTGAGTTTTTAAGTGTTTTGCAATAAAGCATTTCTCTTCTCTTCCTCGTATCATTGCATCCTTTTTTTAATATCCTTTCCAATATTTCAGAACTTGCTTTAAAATGTGTAGAGAAAAACTGTTACTCGAATTAAACCGATCAGTTTACAGCGTACAGACACACAGCCACATCTCTGCTCCAGTTCAACTCTTTGCCTCCTATTCCTGTCAGACTATGAGCTGATCACCAATGTCAAAGCAGTAATACAAGTGAATTGCTGTTGGGTGATTTTCTTCATCCTGGTGTAATAGATTCCTCTGCATAGATAAGTTTCTGTCTCCTAAAGCCTGGCTTTTTTATCCCCATTGACAGGCTTGCTTGTGCAAGGCCAAAAGTCTCACCCCATGAGGATATTTGAGGCTTAGATCCCATGCACAGCCCTGTTCTTCCCTATGGGGTAGGTTTGGATAACTCTCAGATGTTTATAGCCTTTCATGATTAAAATGGGTAATCAGATTTGCTGTCAGGGTGTTTGGATCCCATCAAGCATTCAGAGGGCAATCGCACAGCCTTTGTCTAGACTGGGGTTTAAATGTGTGTCATTAGCACACATTAGCTGATACATTTTAAAAGTCTGATGCAGACGAGGCATAATGCCTTTAATATGAAAAGCTGGCTGAGTTAGGCCCTTGGGCATTGGCGTTTACACTGGTTTGTCTATTTTAGAATTTTAGAATAAGTTAGCTGATGGCTTGCCTGCAAAGACCAGTTAATTTGGAAGAATATAGGCTATGAATTTAAAAGGCTGCTCCAGGACTTAAGGCCAGAAAAATCTTAAGTGGTTGCTCTGAAATAGCTCAATATAACATAATATACACTTAAGTAGGTAAGTTCTCCCTCACTTTTTTTTTCTTAACTTCCCGCAGAAAAAAAAACAGTTCCCATACTAGAGTTGTTGTATTTAAAAATTAACCCTCTGATGCGTTTCTGTTTTTATCACTGCTCCTTACTGAATGCAGCTGATTAGCCTGGTTGTGTCTGGAGAGGAGGCTGGAAAACTTGTACACTCTGCAGATCTGATTGCTGACGTTAAAAGCTGACTTGCATTTCACAGGAGGAAGACATGGTACACTTGTGAGAGGAAATGTGAGTGAAGCAACAGAAGACCATAAAATAGGATTAAAAATAGAGACTG